AAAATACTGTAATTCAAAAAAGAGATATTTTACTTAAAACACATACAGGAAAATTACAAAAAATCTCTGAACTACATAGTGCTTATGATCTATTGCAATATTCTTTATTATTTCCTTATAGTGAATATAAGTGGCATGACAATATTTTGAGAGCTAATAAAATTATAACTATATCAAATAATGAACAATCTGATGATGAATTTGAAGAATTTGATAATGAAGAATTTGATCCTAATCAAATTTCAATTTATCAAGCAACAAGTATTGCTGAAAGTACTGGTGTAACAGAAGCATTTGAAAATTTATTAGTTAGATCTGCATCAAGTATGAGTACAGGATCTAATATTAAGAGAAAAAAAACAAAAATTGAAGTTAGTAAAGAAATAGTTATAGTAAAAAAAGAAAAACAGAAGTTGGATATAATGAAAAAATAGTTGAAATTGATAATAAAAGTGAAAATAAAATTATATCAGAAGATGAAGATTTGGATCAAATTCAAGTACACCAATCAAAACAAAAAAGCAAAACAAGTTACAATTTGAGAATTTGTTGTTCATAGAATTCAAGTTCGAAATTATAACAAAACACAAAATATTTTACATCTTTCTGGTTATTTATTTTAACAATATTTAGTAGATCAGTATATCAAATAGGAATCAAATACTTTATAATAGTATAGAAAAAATCAATCACAATTTAAATCTGAAATTTATTCAGATCTATAGAACATTGTTGATTCTGATGATACTATTATGGAAAATATTGACAAAAAAGTTATTTTATCATCATCTTTTACTGGATCTTAACAATATATGCAACAACTATATTAAGATTCTATGGCAATTGTTAGAGAATATAGCAAACCTGATTTATTTGTTACTATAACTTGCAATCCCAAATAGCCAGAAATAATCAATGAATTATTAAGCAGATCTGAAAATAAAAAACAACAAACTTCTGACAGACCTGATATAGTTGCTAGAGTTTTTAAACAAAAACTTCAAGCAATTACACAAGATTTATTTATAAATAGTATACTTGTAAGAGTTATTGCATATGTTCATACAATTGAATTTCAAAAAAGAGGACTGCCACATGTACATATTCTTATGATATTAGCATCTGAAGATAAGCCAAAAACACCTGAAGATTTTGATAAAATAGTTTGTGCAGAAA